AATCGTGTGCCTCGCTATCATTGGGTGACGAACTGTTTCCCGTTCTTCTTCTGTTGATGTACAATATTTCTTTTCTTTTTATGCAAGTTGAAACGGGTACTGAAGTACCGGTCTTAAAATTTGCCAGGACCTCCCCTAATTGATATTGTCTCTCCTAACTTTTACCGGCTGTTTTTCTCTCTAACTTATTTGTATGTTCACAAGACAGACGTATTTTCCTTCTGGTCCCGTTGATTCGTTCGCGATGGGGAGGGCCACGTCACTCCAGCCAGCACCTGAGCTCTGCGATTTCCTCACCTGATATGACACAGAACCAGTGCGAGCAGCGAATACAATGTGGAGGTAACACCGGCGTGGCTGAGGTGTCAAGGTGTCAACGATGGTGTCAACGGTAGTGTCACTCAATGTGTCATCGAGATTGTCGGCCGAGGTGTCAACGGGCGTGTCAGGGAAGGTGTCAAAGGTGTCATATGAGGTGTCAACGCGAGTGTCGCCCAAGACGCTCAGCCATGTGTCAAACGAGGTGTCACCAGAGTACTGTCATAGTCCCTGCAGTGCCACTGTCACCTGTCATTCGGGTGCTGCGATGTGGTATCCATGTGGCAGCGCACTGGTTACCTGATTTCCGCCTGATGTGATGATAATCACACTCGACACCCGCGCCCGGTGGCGGTGTAGGGGGAGGGGTGGAGGAGGGAGAGAGAGAGAGAGAGAGAGAGAGAGAGAGAGAGGGAGGGGGGGGGGGGTGGGAGCGTGTGTCGGGTGTCGCTGCTGCTCCCGTGACCGCTACCGCTGCTGCTGCCGTCGGGATAATGCAGGGTTTCAGTTTCGACTTAGTTAGTGCTGTCGCAATGTTGTGCTTGTGAGCTAACTTCCTTCTCTGGCAGTAACCTCTGTCAACGGACTTGAAACGCTTACGAATGTAGCACTTGCCGCCGAGATCCAAAGAAATTGATCCAAAGAACAAATGAGATCCAAAGAGGATCCAATCAGCTCCAGAGAGGATGCCAGTGAAATCCAAAGAAAATGCACAGTTATCCATTGTCACGTCACCGGTATTGTCTCCCCTTCGCTTACGCTTCTCTTTTTCGTATTTACCTGCTCTATTGATCATCCCCACCACCTCTGCCCCCCCCCCCCCCTACAACCAGTCCCCGCCACAGTTCTCCCCTTGGATATCACCTCACTCCCCGAGGCGAGTAACCATACCCTCCGAGCCGGGGACTGTGGAGCCGACCGCCGAGGGTGGCTCTAATTTGATGAATATTCACACACCTGCCCCGTGATGAGAGGTGTACGGTCACAGCGGCACGTCCGAGGGGGGGAGGCGGGGTCGATGATAATGGGGTGGGGGAGCTCTCGAGGGGGGGGGGGGAGGTTGATGAGATGTGCGGGGAAGGTGGGGTTTGTGTATCAAATCCACATGAGATCACCATAGTCATAGCGGGGACGGGTGGTGGTCGCGTGAAATGAATTGAACTACCGCTCCGAACTACCGTATTACGGGCGCCGATGCCTACCACATTCCGGGCGCCCTAAACCCCCAAATCATCAGAACTACCGTGGAACGTTGTTGGACATTTTTACACGACATTTTATTTCCACGTATACGCATCGTATTCTACGTTTCCACTCAAATGGGCGGCTTATGTTATACTTGTGTCCCCGACAGGCACTGCGGTAGGTAAGTGCGTTCTGGAAAACCTTTTTCACATGTGATTGTGCGTCATCAAATATCATATCGCGATGCACGAGCACCTTGCAATTTCTGGATATTCGTGCTGCTGCAACAGACTCCGCCAAAAATACACCTTCATTCTCGGTTGATGTATTGAAGTAATGTGCTCAAAATGTTGCTGTCCAAGGTTAGTTCAAAAGCCACCTGTTGGTTTCTGGTAGAATTGCATGTCATCATCAGCTTTTGCGGTATGACATGGAATTTCACTTTAGCAGATGCGTATAACGGTGACCGAACACCGCACACCAATTAATGACCGATTAAATTGAAATTATTTCATTAGCTTTGAGTAACGCATGGGCATTTACACGGAAATGATTACGAACTCTCGTTAAAACACGTATGGAATGTATTCGAACATTCTAAACAGGAACGGTCAGTCAGTTGTTTAAGCAGTGGGGTTATTTTGTATAGCCATCGGTTGGTTCGTGACCTAAACTTTATGGTTTTGTTTAAATGTTAAAAATTGTTCAGCCTGCCCTGTATAAGAAGTTTTGAATAGCCACTTTCTGAAATTGGTATAGCTCATTGATGAGTTTCAGATACCTTCCATGACTCCTGTCGCTACTTTTCTCTCCCAAACGCTATGGAACCGGCTATGACTATGGTTGTGGCTTTGGCTATGGCTATGGGCTACAGTTATATGGCTCGGGCCCAGCGCTCAAATCTGCCTGTCGTGCGGCGGCGGTGGGGGCGGCTGGATAATTGTAGGTGTCGTGACACCCTCGGTGGCCGCCCCTCGACCGGCGCGTGACACCTGTGACACCTCTGACACCGCTGACACCCCGCCCCACCTACCCACACACGGAAGGCGCGGGGACACCGGGCTGCTTGTTTAGACATCGGAATGTAGCTAATGGGTTGTCATCCATCATATATTGGGGCTGTTACTTACAGTGAACATCACAACAGATGGTCATGATATTACCATGTTTGGATAATCATTGCAGGTTTGGTATATTGTGACACCTTATCAGCCAGTTTAAGGTGCTCTTTATGTATCATTTTTGTGTCGGCATGTTCGCTTATTTTGTCGACAGGTGTCGGATGTGAAATTTGACTGCGGACCTCTGTTTCCTGCATGATTTTGTTTGCTTTGATGTCGCCCAAAAAGGCCGACTGGTGTCAAGTAAAACTTTAATGCTGTCAGTTTTCCGCATGTAGAATCGGGTGGTTTGTGCCTTGTCAGTTTCATTCAAATGACTTCCGCCGGACATATTTGAGTACAATTGCTGATCATTCACACTATTATCATGTTAAGTAGGACATAAACAGATATAGATTACAGCAGTGATAGGCATAATATTGTCCATGAAAGTAGTTTATTTGGTCGTTTATTTCAATCAAACCGGTCATAAATGTTGAGCAGTGGAAGTGGTCTAATGGTTCTCGGACATTTTCATCACTAATGGGCAGTCTAGCCAGTGGAGTTTCTTTCCTTTAGACGGTCATTTAAACATCGTTATATTTTGTTAAACATCGTTATATTTTGTGGCAAATATGTTTACTTGAGCGTGCTTTCATAACCATTAATTAGTTTAAATCTATTGTTTTTCTGGCACAATGGGCGATATATTTAATGGACAGCTTTGTAAGCTGATTGTCAACTTTTTAGTCCACCGCTGCATTTATTGCTGCGCTGTCAACCATTTTATCCCGCGATTAAGCCGATAAATGCTGCAGTGTGGCATTGTCAGTTAATTATGGCCCACTTTGACGTACGTGCATGATCAGGATTTATTGTTGTAAGCGTAACGGCTACCATGGTTACCAAGCTGGATGATAATACCTATGTGTGTTATAAAGGAGAACGCAGTCTGAAATTTATTTGGCGAGTTAGGTTAGTGGTATTACATTGTTTTGTACCACATTCCAGTCTGTAAAAATATGTTTGGTTAAGAACTTTTTTGTCAAATATTGCTTCAATGCTTGCACGTTCTGGCTTCTACACCCTGCTAGTTTTGATAGAATAAAACTAGCTTTAAATTGGACAAAGTTATTGTTGCTTTGCTATTGTTACCAGCTTTGCTGAACGCTAACATCCACTAGACAGGCTGTTTTATGCGTAATTGCAATATTGCAGCGTTCTATTATTGCTGCATTGCTGCAACGAGTGTGGCACTACCGTTGCAACATTGATGCGTCGCTTCCGGCACGCCTCTCGCACCATTCTGCCCTCGCAGCAGAGATGAAGTCATTCCAATTCCGCCTCCCAAGTGGAGCCACCATTGTTTTCATCCTGCATTATGGTGTCGGTCAATAAGGACCAGTATGCCGTCAGATGGGGCGACGATTCGACCTTACGGACTTTGTCGGCAAGGCTCAGAAGGGCCGTAATTAAGGCAGAAATGCGTCGTCATGATCCAGACCGGCCGAAAAACGCACAGCCGCCACCGCGGCCTGCGTCGTGGCAGGAGATGCAGATGATGCCGTGCTTTGATGCGACCTGCCTGAGGGCATTTAGAGGAAGCCAACAGCTTCCGCACCCCTTCCCCCACCCTCCGCCCTCTTCAGGACCACCCCTGCATCTCCTGCACGAATTATCAGACCCAGATGCTAAACAAGACAATGGGAGAACGTGGAACTTTCAACAAGGGAAATAATGAAATTCGACCGATGTCTCATTCTCAAACGCTCCACCCTTTCTTCGGAGACCCTTGAGCGTCTGTTCGCAAAGACATGTGACTGACCTCTGGTTGCTGACCTCGAGATGCACTTGTCCAGCGGACTCGCGCCAGGGATCTGTCGCAAAGCGTCGCATAGTGTCGCCCTGGCGCCAGATATGTCTCGACAGTAGACGTCAAGTGCGCATCGGAAGGCAAATATTTATAGATAAAGTTACCGACTGAGGCTTATTATATGTAGTGAGATATGGTGTTGGGTGGGGCAAACTCCGGTGGAGCAAGCATCATTGGTGGCAAAACTGTCGCCGGGAAAATAAAGAAAAAAAAACACATGGCTTTAGTCGTGTGAGCTTACGTTGTGTTGATTTTCATTGGCATAAATATGTTGTTTTTTTTTAGTTATCCATTACGCATATCTGTCAACATCAACAGTATCCGAGCATCGTCTCGATTACACAATTCCGAATTTGCTTTCATACCATTTTTTTTTTTCGCTCGCTTTCCCCGAGTGACATTATTCAATTGGACATCATGTCGTACCACTACCCGTATTGAATCCCCTCGCTCTTGCTTGTCCTTTCTCGCTTGTATTTTCTCGCTCGGCCGTCTCTAACCGTATCTCTCTTGTTCTTTTGCAGGTGAGTACGGTTGTCAGTGATGCAAATGCTGCTGATGCAGGGATGGTGAGCAGAAAACCAGGTCAGGTCAGCATGGTGTGTGTGTGGGGGGGGGGGGATGGAGGGCACTTCGAAAGCTACCGCGAAGATGCTGTGAAACGATGGTGAAGCACGCTGACGGCTGAAGAAGGGGTCGAAGAATAGGTGTGAAGGATGTTGCACAGGTGAATGACCAGCGAAATGCTTGTTTGGCCCGCTTTTTGACGCGTTAGGAAGGTTGGAAGGGTGAGGGAGGCATAAGTGTAGGGTCGCTGTAGTAAAGAATGGAAGACTAGTCTGGGAGGGGGTGAAGAAGGGGACCGGGAAGAAATGGTGTGACGAAAGTGGTGATAGGAAGAAATGGTGTTGGAAAATAACGTTTCGGAATTTCATTGTTTGTTGATATCATGCCTGTGTAATGAATAATTGAAAGACGACAAATGATAGGTAAAGCAGATGACGAAATTTATTAAATTGCTTAAAAATATTGCTCAGCGTTATTGCTGGGAGTCTTCAGTGTAGTGTATCGTATTTATTGAGAGAGTTCTGCGTTATTTTCCGTAAAATTTTTTAGTCGTAAACCATCAATATCTCTCATCTCTGCTGGTATTTAACTCCAGATACCATGAAATCGGGGTCGCTTAATGTTTATGTTACTGGTCTACAGAGCAGGGCTTGTTTGCCGAATTATCTTTCCTCTTGACATGTGGCTACTAACAACGCGATATAATGCCATCCTTGTTTAGTTGTGGGCCTAGGGAAGTAGTGAGTGGTATTGGATATGGGCAAACGAGCGAACGGACAACCGAACACACAAGCAAATAAAGGAATGAATGAATGAATGAATGAATGAATGAATGAGCTTGACTATAAACATGCTTGATTTGAACAGTATTTTATATGAACTTAACCGAAGACAACAACTTTTCGCTCTTTTACATGCTAACTATATCTTTCATGAAGTTGGCATCCCATCGGCTGTAAAACATCAGTCCCTGACACTTTCAAATCACTCTTTTCGATTGATTCAAGCTTCCATCCCCCCGCCCCGCGTTGTCGACGCGATCGTAGCACCTTTCTATTATGACGACCCTGTAAGGGGAGAGTCAGCTGTTTGTGCGCTCCACCCTCCCCGCCTGAGGCGTGCCCTCAGGGCGTTGCTAGGCGAAAGGCGTTCAGAAGCACCCGCACTGCCAACAAAGGGTGTGGGATTGGGTGAAGGTGCGGCTCGTTTGCTTCGCATGGGTGATTAAAAGCGTGAAAATATTATTGTTCAGTGATATTCACGGGATATTGGTAGTTGGTACGCCGAATTGTTACGGCTTCATTAAGCTAGATATATTGAATGACGTTGTCATCAGCTTTTTTCCCATAACTTTGGTGATTTTATATGGTGCGAAGAAGTTAGCGCCTGAGCTATAATTTCATTTCAAGTTTCATCTGGGCGTCGTGAGAACATGGCTCTGCGTAGATACAATTCCATTATCACGCAAAACGGCCTGGATCTGAGAAAAGATGCTCTTATTCCCATCCATGTGCAAAAAATGTTAGTCAGCTCTGCCTGACTAAAGATAACGATGAAAACCTAGTCATCCATAGGCTCGTTCATGGTCGTGCTATTAATCATCACACTATCTCTCGGCCCTGTCAGATTGCCACGGACAAGTGCGTGTTTTCCCGTAAGGAGGTCGTTATTTTTCCGGACTGTAACGGCGTGTGATGCGTTAAATTGGGATTATCGGGTACCGGTGTTTGAAGGAAGCGTTCGAGTGTGATCTACGTCACTGGATACTGCATTATATGGGATAATGATGGGATCAGAGAACGGAGGTCTGCTGATTTGTGCCGTTGTACAAATCAGCAGACCTCCGAACGCTTCAGGCAATACTGCTCTTGCAGAAATAATGCGTTTCTTGTGGAAAAGAAAATCATCATTTTTATAGCTTTTAGTAAGCGATAAGTATTTTGTAGCATATTTATGAGCAATATTTATAAATGCCACCAAAGTACTTGAAATTTGCTCATAATTAGCGATGAAATTATAGAGTCTGAATGCCGCTTGAATCTCTTCTCTCACAGTTTTTTTTTTTGCGATAGAAAACAATGCATTGCTCAGATTTCCTTACCTCAAAGCCCACAACAGACATTTGAACCGTCATTACATCGACTCCCTTTGAGGTCTCTGACCCCGCCTCTGAGCTAGCTCTGGGTCCTATGTGACACCCCCTCCCCCTCCGGGACCGTGAGCGGGGAGGGGGAGGGGTGTGCGTGCGACCACCGACACCATTAGCCCGTCGGATGTCGACTGAACCAATAAACAGGTGACCGAGGGACATCGCGGGGAGGGGGGGGGGTGATGGGGAGGGGGCAGACAACGGGGAGGGGAGAAGGTAGGGTCCATATGAGCTACTAACCAAGCTATAGTGCTGAAAAATCAGTCGTGATTTTCAAGGATACAAAATAGCGGATAGACGAGCCTCACTTACAGTTTGGTGTAGTCAAGTACAAATATCTGCAAAGATTAGGCGGAGTAGTAGTGTGGAGTTTACCGTCACCCCGGTAGAGGCTTCTCAATGATTGTTTACCTTCCGTTCTGCCGGCGGCGTGGTCCCGCCCATCAAATGACGTCATCCATCGCTCTAAACTAGGTTGAGACGCATTAATTAGGCGGAGAAAAGTGGCCATTATCGCGCGCTGGCGACTGCCGCAGGACCTTACCACGAAAATATGGTGATATATGGATGATTGATTGGGAGATTTGATACACATCCTTAGGCCTTTTCTCGGCCAGAAGGGGCACTTACGGATGTGATTTTGATCGATAAACGTGTTTGTATTTACTTGGCGTTTGAGTGGAGGGGTCTGCGCAGTCAACGCCTGTTATTACCACCAAACATATGGAAGCATTGCAAGAAGTCACGTGATCTATCGAATGTCGATCATCGTGCTCTAGCCGCCTTTGACTTGTCACGTGACCCTATCATACAGTGACACTGGTCAGACCCCCCCCCCCCCGCTCCCCCGCTCCCCCCCCCCCCACCCCTCCCGCACACAAACAGTCGTGGCCGGTGGACATTTATTTATTTTCATGCGCGGGACTGCTCAGGTCATGGGGTCAACGTCGAGTAGTCGGCGTCTGCCCGCGGGGTCACAGAGGTCAGACTTGCTGGCAGTCGCCCAACAGGGAAGGGGAGGGGTGAAGGGGTGTTAATGATAGGCGGTTCCGGCCCCCTGAAGGAGGTTTTTCTCACTGAGTGTTTGAAACTGAGGGGACACCTGATGAGTGATGGGTTGGTTTGTTGATGTCTTTAGCGTTGGAACGTTTCTTATGGTGATATTTGTCGAATGGGCGACAGTTTTGGTGACATGCGTGAATAATTTACTTGTCCAACTCTTTGTATGTTCTATTGAAACAAAACTTCAGCGCAACATCCGCCGGGGAAGTTTGATGACTCACACCAACTCTCAGTAACTCGCATCCGCTGGTCAGTCCCAGAGTCTCCGCGAGGCGCCATGCATAATGTATGCCACGATCAGTCCGATCACCTGCCAAGACCGGGTCGCACGTCTCACACGGCAGTCACACTCCGGAAGTTGGCAGCGTGTGTGAATGCGCGTCGAACGCGCGAGAGCGTTTTTGCGCGCGCCCGGGGCGCGCCACCGAAGAAGAAAAAGCGCGCGACTCGTGCACAGGGCGCCAAGGCCGCGGCTGGCCGGGCGGTGACGCCGTCCTGGGCCGCTCTCGGTGGACTTTTATCGGTTTGTGCCACTGCGGCTCACGCGTCCGAGCAGAGGCGCATTCAGGAGGTCGCCCGGGGAGGCAGGCTGGGAGCAGAGGCGGGGTTAGGGATGGATTTTGGGAGGCTGGTTGGGGGTTTTTATTTACATGCCAAAATATTGGGTTGGTAGATAATGCCAGTCAAATTTTGGAAGATTGTTCATTTTGGCATTTATTTTCAATTTTCAACATCGTGCTCCTTGTTATTTGCAAGTTATTGCACGTTGCAGCGGTGACAGCGACCTGCCACGAATCCTGTCGGGCTTGCCGTTGCTCCTTATGGCGTGTGGGGCGTGTCCCACCGTTTTAGCGTGCCTTGGAACGTGCTGGAGCAGTACTCCGACGTGCCCCTTGCATTCCACGGACGTGGGGGCACGCTTTGTCCAAAAAGTGGCGGCTTTGCCGTCCTACAGAGCGCCGCAAACAAATGTAAATCTCGTTATTATTATATTTGATCCTAAATGACAGTCGCAATGCTCAATGTGTGATCCTTGCTAAGTTGTCATGCGAAAATTTACTTGCCATGGTTACAATGCACCTTTGCCTCCTGATTTTTAGATCTCGTCTTATTCTATCATCACATTTAATCCCGTCAAATCGAGTAACAATAATTCCTATTTCCACCGGTAACATGCTCGCCAATAACCACCTCTCGCGAATACCGCGGCGTTTACACTCGTTTGACCCGTGTGACCTGGGCGGGTAGCGTGACCCCAGACGCACCGGCCGGCGCCGGCGGCGGGCGCGGGCGTCCGGCCGGCCACATCACCTTGACCCCTGTGACCCCGCCGGCCGGAGCAGCGTGACCTCTGACCTCGGGCCGAGCGAGAACAGGGAGGGGTATTAAATGGGGTATGGGTTCGAGTTGGAGGGGTGTGGTGTCAAAACGTTTTGCGGGTGGGCAGGTAGATCCGATCGCATGTCGAGACATCAACTGTAGATAGAGGCTCATGGGGTTTTGGTTTATGTTATGAATCGCACTGCCTTATGACCTATATATTGATCACTTTTTCCTTGGTATTTATGCAATAAGGACCTACTATCACCAGTAAATATGCAAAAGCCATCCACGTGAAGTTACGTCCTTACGTTTCTCCCCTTCTCATTTCTCGTATTTACCACCAAACCATTCCCGATTTAATTTATTCATTCCCGATCAGAAATCCCACATTTCTACCGGCCACCGGCAACCGTTCTGAATGCGTCGAATTTTGAACGCGACGCTGGAATTTCGGCCGTATCGCGGTGCGCGTCCTCGCCTAAATAGGGG